ACCACCTCTTTTTAGCTCAGAGCTAAAAAGCCAAAGGGTGTGAAGCGCTCGAGGATGGCAGCTTCCCAGGGCCGCAAACTGGGGCTGCAAACTGGCATTGCACCTTACTGGGACTGCAAATTGGTGCTGGCCACTGGGTGTTTTTAGCTCAGAGCTAAAAAGCCAAAGGGTGTGAAGCGCTCGAGGATGGCAGCTTCCCAGGGCCGCAAACTGGGGCTGCAAACTGGCATTGCACCTTACTGGGACTGCAAATTGGTGCTGCACACTGGGACTTGCAGCTTCCTGGGGGCTGCAAACTGGGACTGCAAACTGGGACTACAGCTTCCCAGGGCTGCAGACTGGGATTGCAGCTTCCTGGGGTGACAAACTGGGATTGCAAACCAGGATTGCAGCTTCCGAGGACTGGAAACTGGGATTGCAGCTTCCAGGGCTGCAAACTGGGATTGCAAACTGGGATTACAGCTTCCCAGGACTGCAGACTGGGATTGCAGCTTCCTGGGGTGACAAACTGGGATTGCAAACCAGGATTGCAGCTTCCGAGGACTGGAAACTGGGATTGCAGCTTCCAGGGCTGCAAACTGGGATTGCAAACTGGGATTGCAGCTTCCCGGGGCTGCAAACCAGCATTGCAAACTGGGATTGCAGCTTCCCCGGGCTGCAAACCAGCATTGCAAACTGGGATTGCAGCTTCCCCGTGCTGCAAACTGGGATTGCAGCTTCCGAGGACTGCAAACCAGGATTGCAAACCAGGATTGCAGCTTCCCAGGACTGCAAACTGCGATTGCAGCTTCCTGGGGTGACAAACGGGGATTGCAAACTGGGATTGCAGCTTTCTGAGACTGCAAACCAGGACTGCAAACTGGTGCTGCAGCTTCCCGGGGCTGCAGACGGGTCACTCTCGCCACGCAGCGGGATGCTCCCTGCGGGAAGGCGGCGCGGAAGGTGCTCCGGCGGGATTTTTGCGGTGGGCGGCGGGGCGGACCCGCTCGAGGCCGGGGACGGAGGCAGCTCCTGGGCGCGCGGGGGGCAGCG